AAGTCGTAGGAGTGGTCCTCCCTCAGCTCGTTCGTCATCTCGAGCGTCTCGGCGTTCCTCTCGTCAGTCCGGGCCGGGCTCGTCTGGACGAGCCCGGCCTGCTGCCCGAACTCGTCCCGGCCGCCGCGGCGCGCGTCAAACTGGGGCCGGGCGAGGGCCGCGCCGGCCAGACACAGAGCGATGATCTGCGCACAGCGGGGCGGCGGCGTCAGGTCGGCCCGAGGAGGCTTAGCGCATGGCAGGTCGTCTCGACCTGATGTGACGCTGGCGATCCGGCCGGGGTTGGGTCAGCTCCGGCCGGTGTCGGGTCAGCTCTGGCCGGAATGGATCAGCTCTGACCAGGGTCGGGCCAGCTCCGGCCGGGGTCAGGTCAGCTCTGGCCGGAATGGATCAGCTCTGACCAGGGTCGGGTCAGCTCCGGCCGGGGTCAGGCCAGCTCTGGCGGGGGGGGGGGGGGGATGAAATCAGGTGGCGCATGGCCAGAAGGCGTGGTGGATAGGGGGTCATGCTGGACGCTCGCAACGAACGCGACGGCGTCAACACGAGCCTCTTCATCAGAAACCGTGCGGGGAAATCATGCAGTACGTTTGCTGAGAGCCAATGGCGGAAGAGCTCGCTATGTTGGAGGCGTGTTGGTGGTGAGGTGGCCACTGATTCGGGGCGTCATGGCTGGCCCGACCGGCCACACTTCCCGTCGTGAGACACTACAGCCCGACGACAGCCCAGGCCTCAGCACTCGGCCCCCAGTGAACCACGACCCGCGCTGGACGTGGTGGGGGTCCCCGGTCACCGCAGGCTCCGTCGACGCCCCCCCCCCCCCCCTCCCCTGCGCCCGGGCCGGGGCGGCGATGACTCCGAGGTGCCAGTCGCCGCCGCCGACCCGTCCCGGCCGTTCCGAGTGGTGGCGCACTGGAAGCTGTCACGTGTGACACGGGCCGCGTCGTCACGGGGCGCAGCGCGAAGCGCTGTGAGCACGTGTGGCAGCGCTGGCGGGGCCGGCGCCGCCTCACTCACGAGCTTCATACTGCCGATACGCTGCTGTGGCGGACGTGGATGCCGCGGTCCGGCTTTATACAGGAGGGCGCCGTCTGGCAGCTGTCCTTGCCGGCGTCGGCGCGAGTTTTTGTACGGCCGGACAGCGCCCGGCTCGGCACTACTTGTCAGCCGGCGACGGCGGCGCCGCCGCTCCGCCTGCTTGCCAAACATCGCCTGGGAAAACAGCCGCACGCGCCGAAAACAGCGGATTACCGGGCGTCGCGACTTAGGGGCAGGTGGCGGGGGTGGGGAGGGGGTGTCCGCTCACCGAGCGACCGGGCGGGGGTCACCACCTCCGGAGCTGGGGCCGTCCCGGTAGGCCGCATCCCTGGGACGGGGTCGCCACCTCCGAAGCTGGGGCCCTCCCGGCAGGCCGCATCCCTGGGGCGGGGGTCACCACCTCCGAAGCTGGGGCCTTCCTGGCAGGCCGCATCCCTGGGACGGGGTCACCACCTTCGGAGCTGGGGCCCTCCCGGCAGGCCGCATCCCTGGGGCGGGGTCACCACCTCCGGAGCTGGGGCCCTTCCGGCAGACCGCATCCCTGGGGTGGGGTCACCACCTCCGGAGCTGGGGCCCTCCCGGCAGGCCGCATCCCTGGGGCGGGGGTCACCACCTCCGAAGCTGGGGCCTTCCTGGCAGGCCGCATCCCTGGGACGGGGTCACCACCTTCGGAGCTGGGGCCCTCCCGGCAGGCCGCATCCCTGGGGCGGGGTCACCACCTCCGGAGCTGGGGCCCTTCCGGCAGACCGCATCCCTGGGGTGGGGTCACCACCTCCGGAGCTGGGGCCCTCCCGGCGGGCCGCATCCCTGGGGTGGGGTCACCGCCTCCGGAGCTGGGGCCCTTCCGGCAGACCGCATCCCTGGGGTGGGGTCACCACCTCCGGAGCTGGGGCCCTCCCGGCGGGCCGCATCCCTGGGGTGGGGTCACCGCCTCCGGAGCTGGGTCCCACCCGGCAGACCGCATCCCTGGGGCGGGGTCACCGCCTCCTGAGCTGGGGCCTCCCGGCAGGCCGCATCCCCGGGGTGGGGTCACCACCTCGGCGGCCGCGACGGGGCACGGCACGGCTTCGTGCCTCTTTCAGCGGACAGGCGGGGGACTGGGGCGACCGGCGCGGCGGGCGCGCTTCTCGGCGGCCCGGCCCCGTTGATGGTCGGGCGGGCGCTGCGGCCCCGGCAGTGGCCGCCCTGATCACAGACGCGTCTCAGGCGCGGATGCAGCGAAAAACGGCGTCCCAGGTGACTGCTGGTCTGTGTGGCGAAGGGTCACGGCCGGCTCTAGCGCAGTGAGCCGTCTGTGGCGTCCTCCCTCGTCGAGCCGTCTGTGGCGTCCTCCCGCGTCGAGGCGTGGTGGGTATGCATGCAAATGGGCTGGCGCGAAAGCCGAGATGGTGGGAAAGAAACTTCTTGACACTGAACTGGCAGCCCCATTTAACACGCACGTGAGCACTGTCCGCTGACACACTCCACTTCACTGCTCACTCTACACATCTACACTGCTCCAACAGTGATGAAAAGAAGGGAAATAGTTTGATCATGTGATGTCCTTGACTACCACGGAGTGACTTTTAGGGAGAGTTGAAGTGTTTCCCAGTCCTCAGTGTTTGTGGAAAAATTGGTAACATTTATATTTGTGCATTGTATTAGTAAATGAGAGAGCAGCGTACGTACCTTATTCGTCAATGCATCCATCTAACCATTCATCGAGCAAACTGACATCAAAAATCGAACTTGGCACCAACTTTTCACTGCATTTTTGCGTTTTCGCTTTAGTTGGTACTCGGAAAAAGGAAATAAACAAGACTCGACCCGAGCCGTTTGCGCGTCTGGTAAAGGTATGTGTGAGCCGGATTATGGTGTTGCGGACATTTCTGGTTTGGCTAAGGAGGCTGGTTCAACTCATCAATATTTTCACATAAAGTTGACTCAACAGGACCAATGTGACGGGCGGCAGGTGTCGACTGAAGCGTGTGTTTAAGGCTACGATCCCGCCGTCCAGTGCTGCGGTCACTGTGGCCCTTCTGTGAGGCCTTTGTTAGCTTCCGCTGCCCCAACAACCATCAACATCAGCTCTTCGTTGGTTTTTTTCCTTCCATTGTAAGTTAATCTGTTATCACCCGTATTGTAATATTACTCGTCAGCGGGGACGGGGTGGACTTTGGGAGGTTATTTCTTTACGTAGGTCTGTCTCAAACGTGGCCGAGGTTTGTCCCACATTTTACGTAAGTTTGTTGCCCACCTTACTCAGCTCTTACCACTTTTTAGAGAGATGCGTTTGGCGTAGCGTGGTTTGCGTCCTAGAGAGTGCGTCATTTTGCAAGATTATTATGTAGCGTCAGTTAGCAACTAGCAGAAGGTGGTTAACTTGGCTCCGGGGTCCGGGTCGTGGCCTTGTTTAACGCCAAAACACCTTCGCGGACTTTGCAGTCGTGCCTGAAGGCAACGCATAGGGCTAAATTTTCCGTAGGGTTCCATAGGCATAGGGTTCAAGGCGTCACTCCTCCGTGTTCCCCTGTTCCCATACTGCTATGGAGAACGATGTCACAGTCTTTGGTTTGTGTGGGAAAGTGATCCTGTAACTGATATCACCTGCATGACTTGTCGGATGCGTTTATTAGCTACTATTGTCCCTCACTCCCTGTTCTGTCAATGTGTTATGTATCGCCGTCGTAGTTGACCGCATGAATGTTAAAAGCTTTGATGGCGAAAATGACGTTTTAACTCCAAAAAATCGGAGCAACTTATCTATCATCAGTTTTGCGTTTTGTCGTGAACCGCAGCTTCTAACGGTGTGGACAAAAACGTTGTTATGGTTAAGTGTTACTGCCGTCCGATCGCCCGTTTTGTGTGCAATCCAATCCAAGCCAGATTTTGTGAGCAATTCAGACAATTTACTACGACGTGCAGAGAAAACCCGAAAAAAAGAAGCGCGTTAGATAAATCATGAAAGTATGCCGCGATGTTACATATGTGTGAATAAAGAATGTTTCTATATCGATAATTTCGGGAAAACCCCGTTCCAAATGACACTACAAATGATCGTTTTCCCTTTCGGCCAAAGAACAGACTTTCTTCTTGAGGTGGATAGAGTCTACGCTGATGCATGCCGTGACGTCACAGTAGGCTTTCTTCACTGGCCATGTGCCTGTGGGACGGGCTGGCTGGCCCGGATGCAGGCCCCACAGGTGGTGGGTGGAGCCAAGTGTAAGTCTAGGCCCCAGCCAGCGGTAGCCTTTGTCCAGATCAAGTCGGTGAGAGACTGCTTCACCGTATACAGATAAAATCATAATTTGTTGCCCGATTTTCCTAAGAATTGTCATTAGAAATCATGTCAGGGTCTGTTGTGATTAAGCTTTGAATTAGACGCGGTCGAGTGAAGCGTCCAACGATTATGTAGCAACAAACAAAAAAACAACGACGAGGGAAGGGTGTTAGGCCGAAGATAGTTGCATTCTGTGCCGCTTATCGTTTGGTGCAGGGTTAATGCTGGTGCTAAAGCTCCTTTGCCAAGGTTTGACAGTCGCTGACTGTGTTCCCTTAGTGGTCTGCTAACTAAAATTACGGTGGCATTGTTGGTACGCGCTGACGCAAAGGTTGATATTTTGCAGCGCACGGTAGTGTTATAGGTAAGCACATTTAGCCAACAAGCGTATGCGACCGGGTTTCTGTAAGCAACGCGAATGGGCGCTGCATGACCTACAGCAGTTGATGCGCCCTAAAACCCCAAATCATCATCACATGTAAGCAATGCGAATAAGTTGCGACGCTTTTTTAGCGCAACGGAGGTTTTTCTGAGGTTTGTTGGTGTCGCGCATGTCTATGCGCTGCTGCCCCCGCACCTCACTCGATATATCCGCTGCCACTGGCTGGCTGGCCGACTCCAGCGGCTGACCCGGTTATAATGCCGCGGGTCGGCGCTGGCCGCGTGCCCCGAACGGGCGACTGTGACAGCGCCTCGCCTTCGGCAGGAGCTCGCTGGATCTGGCGGGCAGCGCCGGCCGGCAGCGCACCACCTCGCGCCACTCGGAGCTGTCGCGGCGCCGCTCCTCCCACTCGGGCGCCTCGCACCAGTCCCTGGACAAGGTCAACCCGGCCAAGAGCGGCTCGCCGGCGGCGGCGGGAGGTACGTACCGCACCGGCTCATTCGCCCTGTTTACGCGCCGGCCGGCTCTTCTCCGGCCAACTATGTGAAGCATCTTGTTGTTGCGACCGCTGTTCGGAAGGATGGTATTGCTCGGCCGAACGCAGTTTGGCGTAAACATGCGGCCGGGCGTGCCCTCGATGGTCAGTAATGGGCCTCCCCGCGATGACGTGCCGCTCGTGTTGCAGCCCAGCTGATTGCGGCGGAGAAGCTGGAGGCTGGCGCCATCTCTGGACGCACATACAAGGCTTACATGCAGGCGGGCGGCGGTTACGTCATGGTGGCGCTGGTGATGGTGGTGTTCATCGTGAACGTCGGCTCGGCGGCATTCTCCTCTTGGTGGCTGTCGCACTGGCTCAACCAGGGCTCAGGGGTACGATCTGCATGGTGATCCACGGGGACCTGGGGTACACGCTGTGCTGGGATCAACCGGCACGTGGGGTGGGCACCTTGTCCGATTCAACCGTCGCGTGTTTTGGCTGGCCCAGCCTGGCCCCCGGACATGTTCGTGCTTTGCTCAGCCGGGACTTGGCAGTGCGTTTCATCTATGGCTCATCCGTGGCTTAAGTTATAATGGCTTGAATTCCAAGGCTTATGTGCTATCTTCAATTTATCGAGGCCCCATAAATTTACGATATGTGTATATTCAGTAGACTGGCGAGATAGATGCATTCTGGTTGGTGGAGAATTGAAGAGCACGTTTAGTTGTCTGTCCCCATTGGTTTTCGATGCTCAATCTGACTGAATTGCCGCAGCTGATGTCACTGGGTCCTTTTAGAGGGTTCGGTAAGGCCTGTCCTAACACAAAGCGGATCATGACGCGTTACGAATAGAGGCGTGGCCATGTCGGGTGGGGTGAGGTCTTGGGGTTAACTTGCGTGTGTCCCTTCGTTCTGGACCGATCGCACTTTTTCACCACTTTTGTGCCGGTATGCTGACGTCCGGTCCGCGCGCCCCCCAGAACACGACCATCCGCGTGGGCAACGCGACGATGGTGAGTGATCATATCACCGATCACCCGCGCCTCGGCTTCTACCAGCTGGTCTACGGCTTGTCCGTCATCATCATCCTCATCACCAGTCTCATCCGTGGCTTCTTCTTCATGAAGGTGGGCGGCCTCTGACCAAGCGGTAGCTGCCTTGGGGGGGGGGGGGGGTCTGACTGACGTAATGCTCCTCAGTGTCACCGATTAGGATCATTCAGTGGTGTCATTTGGACGCCCTTCGGGACCATACGTCTACCTTGTTGTTCTTACGTCAAGCTATCTACCGTGTTAATTTGAGTATCTCGTTCACTACCCCTTGTGTGTGCTACCGACGAAGTATTCGAACGTTCAAGTCCCACCCAGCTTCTCGGTGAAACGTGCATTGCTGCAATTTGCTATTAACTGCATCCACCTGGTTACATTTGTGAGTACTGTAGAAGTGAGCCTGGCGTGAAACATTTTGACGCGGTCTTCTTAGCGATATTTGACCCTGTCATCTGTTCGATGTGAAACCTTTCTTCTGTGTGACATCTGGCCCTGTCCTCTGCGTGACATCTAAGCCTTTCTTCTGGGCGATATCTGACCCTATCCTCTGTGTGATATCTGACTTGTCCTCTGTGTGACATATCAACCTTCCGTCTGGGTGATTTCTGACCCTATCTTGTGTGTGTGGCATCTGACCCTGTCCTCTGTGTGATATCTGAACCTTTCTTCATGATGACGTGTGACCCTATCATCTGTGTGACATCTGTCCGTACCCTATGTGTGACATCTGACCTTGTCCTCCGTGTGACATCTGACCCTACCCTATGTGTGACATCTGGCCCTATGCTCTGGGTGCCATCTGACCCTGCCCTATGTGTGACATCTGACCTTGTCCTCCGTGTGACATCTACCCCTACCCTATGTGTGACATCTGACCTTGTCCTCCGTGTGACATCTACCCCTACCCTATGTGTGACATCTGACCTTGTCCTCCGTGTGACATCTACCCCTACCCTATGTGTGACATCTGACCTTGTCCTCCTTGTGACATCTGACCCTACCCTATGTGTGACATCTGACCTTGTCCTCCGTGTGACATCTGACCCTACCCTTTGTGTGACGTCTGACCCTATGCTCTGGGTGACATCTGACCCTGTCCCCTGTCCGCCAGCTGACCCTGACGGCCTCCAGCCGGCTGCACGACCGTCTGTTCCACAAGCTGCTGCGCGCGCCGATGCTGCTGTTCGACACGACGCCGGCCGGACGGCTGCTGAACCTGTTCTCGCGGGACCTGGACGAGAGTGAGTCGGTCCGGGGGCGGCCGGCTGCGCACGTGGCAGCGGTGGCGCCGCACGCTGGGACGGCCGGCGCCCCAGCGGCGGCTGCCGGGGGTCCTACCGGGTGGTCCCAGTGCTGACGGCATTTGTAGGAGCTCGAGAGTGCCGAGAATGCGGGCGCTTAGCTCCGTGCCGTGGTCCATGAACAGCACGGGCATTGCGAGCCTGCGTATTATCGTGATCCAGTGGCGTGGGGGATATCCTGGTCTATCCGTGTCAACCGATAGTGTTGTAGTTATTCATCCAGAGGCAGGCATTACAATTCAACAGGGGGGGGGGGGGGGGGCAGCTGCCTTTTATCAGACATTGCTCTGTGGGACCACATGTGTGACATTTCACTGGGAAGTGCGGACAGTGCCCAATCAATCGGACCATGTTAAATCGATCAGATCAGTGGAATTCCGCGCCCAGCTGCCTGGATGTCCGCTTCATGTTGCAACCCGTCCTTAGAGTTCTTTCATTTTATTTTAAATCACGACCTGCTCCTTCCATTTCGTTTTCAGACGATACTGGTCTGCCATATCCTTCTACAATTGACCGTCTCCTGCTGTTGTGTTTTTTGCTGACGTTCACTTGATAACCTGTTCGCGATTGATGCGGGCATGTTCCCTAGCTGACTCACTTCCCTTATTTTGTTCTCCAACTGACGCTCGTCCTCCTTTTTCTTCCGCAGTTGACGTGCGCCTGCCGTTCACCACCGAGACGTTCCTTCAGAACACACTAATGATCCTGACCTCGCTGTTCTTCGTGGCGCTCGTCTTCCCCTGGTTCCTGCTTCCGTTGGTCGTCATTGCGGCCGTCTTTCTCGGCATCCGCACTGTGTTCAAGTAAGTTTGTCTGAACGTCCCTCGATGTCTGTGGAGTCACCAGCTGACCTGGGACGGGTCAGAAGCACGCTTTGATAAAAGACGCTGGGTGGCTCCAGGCCACAAGGCATCGTATGTTTTGGACCATGGCACCCTCTGTGCTGCCCCCAGTGCGGATGTTGGTGGCCACCCCCTCCCCCTGTACTGCCCCCAGTGCGGATGTCGGCCCTCTATGTTGTCCCCAGTGCGGATGTTGGTGGCCACCCTCTCCCCCTGCACTGCCCCCAGTGCGGATGTCGGCCCTCTGTGCTGTCCCCAGTGCGGATGTTGGTGGCCACCCCCTCCCCCTGGACTGCCCCCAGTGCGGATGTCGGCCCTCTGTGCTGCCCCCAGTGTGGATGTTGGCCCTCAGTGCTGCCCCCAGTGCGGATGTCGGCCCTCTGTGCTGCCCCCAGTGCGGATGTCGGCCCTCTGTGCTGCCCCCAGTGCGGATGTTGGTGGCCACCCCCTCCCCCTGTACTGCCCCCAGTGCGGATGTCGGCCCTCTATGTTGTCCCCAGTGCGGATGTTGGTGGCCACCCTCTCCCCCTGCACTGCCCCCAGTGCGGATGTCGGCCCTCTGTGCTGCCCCCTGTGCGGATGTTGGTGGCCACCCCCTCCCCCTGGACTGCCCCCAGTGCGGATGTCGGCCCTCTGTGCTGCCCCCAGTGTGGATGTTGGCCCTCAGTGCTGCCTCAGTGAAGACGTCGACCCTCTATGCTGCCCCCAGTGCGAAAGTCGGCCCTCTGTGCTCTCCCCAGTGAGGATGTTGGCTGTCTATGCTGTCCCCAGTACGGATACCGGCCTTCTGTGCTGCCCCAGTGCGGATGTCGGCTCTCTGTACTGCCCCAGTGCGGGTGTCGGCCCTGTGTGCTCTCCCCAGTGCGGATGTCGGCCTTCTGTGCCGTCTCCAGTGCGGATGTCGGCCTTGTGTGCTGCCTCAGTGCGGATGTGGGCCTTGCGTGCTCTCCCAGTGCGGGTGTCGGCCCTGTGTGCTCTCCCCAGTGCGGATGTCGGCCTTGTGTGCTGTCTCCAGTGCGGATGTCGGCCTTGTGTGCTGTCTACGGTGCGGATGTCGGCCTTCTGTGCTGTCTCCAGTGCGGATGTCGGCCTTCTGTGCTGTCTCCAGTGCGGATGTCGGCCTTGTGTGCTGTCTACGGTGCGGATGTCGGCCTTCTGTGCTGTCTCCAGTGCGGATGTCGGCCTTCTGTGCTGTCTCCAGTGCGGATGTCAGCCTTGTGTGCTGTCTACGGTGCGGATGTCGGCCTTGTGTGCTGTCTCCAGTGCGGATGTCAGCCTTCCGTACTACCCCCAGTAAGGGTGTCGGTGGCCATCCCGCTGTCCTCAGTCTGAGTGCCGCTTACCGTCTGCCGTGCCCTCAGCGTGGGCGTTCGCGACCTGAAGCGACTCGAGAACGTGACCCGAGCGCCGACCTACAGCCACGTCATCACCACCGTGCAGGGGCTGGGCACCATCCACGCCTTCGGCAAGGAGCGCGAGTTCACCAACAAGTGAGCCGGCGGATGATGAGAGTTGAATAGATATTGCCGTGTGAGAGATTGTCACGATCGAGACATTTTGGTCATCAAACCTTTCGGACATGGGCATGCAGTGCCGCTTGAGGTCTTGCGCGTCGTCGGGTGATCCTCGAGGTCCAGCTGTTTGTTTAGATAGTGTGTGATGGGCCTGTGCTGGGGCCGCTTTTGGTGAATCCATCGCAGCATGTTGCTGCGTTTGTTAGGGTCGACATGCATTTTCGACTAAATCTTGTGCTTGTGCTGACACGTGTGTTTGAAACAGACATGCGTGTCCTCAGGTTCATGGGACAGTTTGATGAAAACTCAGCCGCCCTTTTTCCTGTTTAATTGTTCCATGAGATGGGTTGCCATCCGTCTGGATAGTCTTACAGGTGAGCTAAGCCAACTTGGGTACCTTCTTTGGTCCAGACTGAATGCGGGGAAACCTGTCGCCACTTCCAGACCCGCCCGTTTTTGTATTTTTACGGCGCAGTAGCTCCGTTTTCAAGCACATACGGTGTCTTGATTGCCTCGTATTTTCGTCTCTTATGGACGTCGTGTTTATTTTTTTTATGTTTTCAGCTCCGGATGTTGTCCTGCGCACCCATGCATAGCTATTCTTAGGCCTGTATTGATGCACTAGTTTCACCCAGCGTCACAGCTCAGATCCGTCACAGCTCACAGATCCGCCACGGCTCGCGGATGTGTCTCAGCTCAAGATCCGTCTCAGCTCAGATCCGTCACACACCCCGGTCCGTCACAGCTCACAGATCCGTCACATCTCACAGATCCGTCACATCTCACAGATCCATCAGAGCTCACACATCCGACACAGCTCGTAGATCCGCCACAGCTCGTAGATCCATCACAGTTCACAGATCCGTCACAGCTCACAGATCCGTCACAGCTCACAGACGTCACGATGCTCAGATCCGCATGTGTGCCGACGATACCGTGCACCCGTGCGAGCCTCTCGGGTGCCTCGTCTGACCCGCGCGTGACGCGCGTGTCGGGCAGTGACCATCACGGCCCTGACGGCGGTGTTCGTGCTGGCGACGCATGGCTCGGTGCCGGCGGCGTTCGCCGGCCTGGCGCTGGCGTACGCCGCGCAGCTGTCCGGCCTGTTCCAGTTCACCGTCCGGCTGAGCAGTGAGACCGAGGCGCGCTTCACCTCCGTGGAGAGGATCGACGCGTACACGGCGGTGAGTG